TTAGGGTTTGGGGTTTAGGGGGTCTTCGTACACGGTTCAGGCTTTTGGGGAGACGTGGTTTTGGGCTGAGAGACCTTGTCTTGACCTTGCATGACCTTGTAAGATTTCGACTTCCGTGGGATTCCATGGGCTTTCTGTAGAACGCCCACTTCCGGATGCAGACACCAAGACTTCCACTCCGTCCCCGACCCAGGCCCTTCTGCTTCTGCTAGATATGCTGTTTTGGTGCGAAACAAGCTCTGAATGCTGACACAAGGAACCACTACATGATATTCCATGGAAGGTTGCTGAGCATGAAATCTGCATCGGTAACACGTACGCCCTTTCCCCAAGCCCTAAAGCCCAAAGCAATGAAGACGCATGTTCGACGTCTTGCAAACCTCAAGGTTCAGGAGCGTTCAGGAGCTAAGGACCTCACCGTCTTCAAGTTCTTCGGTCACTTCACGCCTCAAGTACCCTTACACTACCGCAGTAGCCCCGCACTCTAAGATAATGGGAGAACCGTTCTCTAAAACGCTCCTGCCTGAGCTCAAGGACTGTGGTAAAGCGATGTTCCGGAAGTCCAAAGGCAAAAATCTCCTAGCATCCAAGGCCAATATACCCCTCAGCTATGATCTGTAATATAGTGTAATATACTACAATAATCTACAAGATAATCTAACAAGACGTAACCCTCCAAAGGGACCCTAATTTAGAGAACTACCCTCAAACCCTAAGCCCCAAACCCTAAACCTCATAGATCCCTTAAAGGAACCCTTTAAGGACCCGAACTTAGAGAGAACTACCCTCAAACCCTCAGTCCCAAACCCTAAACCCTATAGAGCCCTTAAAGGAACCCAGATTGGGATTTATAACCTAAAAAGGGGACCCTAATTCAGAGAACTACCCATATTAAGCCCTGCAGTCCGAATCCAAGAACAGCCTGGAGCGCTGACGCAGCCAGCCTGGCGACTTCGCACTAGGCCTACACTTCTGCAGGGTTTAGGGTTTAGCGTTTAGGGTTAGGGTTTAGGGTTTAGGGTTTAGGGTTTAGGGTTTAGGCGCAGGGTTTTTGAACCCTAAACCCTAAACCCTAAAACCAAACGCCACACCCTAAACCCCTAAACCACTAAAAACCCTAAATCCCTCAACCTTAAAGCCCTAAACCCTAAGTTGAACCCTAAACCCCCAGACCCTACACCCTGAACGGCCTCTGCCCCAGGGGCTGGCCCGGGTCTGCCGCAGTCAGGAGAGCGGTCTTCAGCGCCTTTGCAAGTTCAACTATCCCCTTAAGTTATAGTAGAGTCGATTACAGTACTTTATAGCAGTGTTTACTGTTTAAGAAAAAAACCCTGGGCCTTTGTTAGGGTTCTTAATATGAACCCTAATATATTGGGGTGATAGAGCCCGGGTTTCTTAATCAGGTTCCTACATCACACTTTGTCTGCCTGCATCTGCAAGAAGACGGCCCATTTCCTGACACAGCCTTCTGCTGTGCGGGCATATCCGACCCCGACTATCCTGTCTCTCTGTAGTCTCGCAACCCTAAACCCTAAACCCGAAACCCAAACCCTAAACCCTAAACCCCTAAACCCCTAAAAGATCGGAAGAG